AGACGCCTCTCCTTTTTTTCTTTCCCGATTCTTTCAGAGGTCTCTCAGTGCTCATTCGCATCCAATGGCTCTCTCTTCAGATGGTACACCGGCATTTACGTCTGCCGGAGTTCTGGGCTCGAACTTTGGCCAGTCGAGGTGCCTCTGCGCTTGCTGTTCATTTCGGTGACCGGCCGGCTTGGACCTTCGGTCGAATCGACGCCTATGCCAACCGTGTAGCCAACGCCCTTCTCGCCGAGGGCTTTAAACAGGGCGACAATTTCGCACTCATGATGGAGTCGCATCCGGCTTACATCGCCATTTGGCTTGGAGCAGCAAAGGTGTGTTCTGTGTGTGCTCGAGGTTTGGCTTCTGTGCGCGATCAGTGCCAGGCTGAACGCTGATGCCAAGTAATGGAGGAACCCCTTTCTCATGCCATATTATTGTGCTACTACGTCATAACACCTATTTTACTTCTTTGCATCCGATAAGGAGCCTGACCCGTCATTACATTGATGCCATACGGTGGGCGATTAGATTGTATGCAAAACTAGAGCACTACGGAATCGTCATTTCATTTAAGGGCAGCATCAGCACGTGAACTTGCTCTGTCGATTCAATTAGTCTTTTTCTACTGAATGCCCCATCATCAAAAGCCTTCAAACTAAACAAATCAGGTCGGCTCAGAGTCGATGTCAACTGAGTTGTTCTAGTCAGCCGCACGCACCTCATGGCATGAGCATGAATGGTTATGCGTGTGAACTTTTACAGCATCACCTCATCACAGTGTTTATGTAAAGTGTTGTGCAAAGTCTTTTGGAGAGTTAAGCCCAAAAGATGCCGTTAGACCAACCTTCCGGCCACTTAAGGTTGTGATGTTCGGATAAAGGTTGCGCCACTGTCGAGTTGATCGGGTGAATATTCTTTACCCATTTAGTTTGCTTTATTTACAAATGCTTATATTGCCACGCCTTTTCGCCTTTTAATTTGCACCTCGCCTCCGTATTACCCTATTTTCCAATTTTATGTTTCGTGGTTTATATTGCCTCGAGTGTTTCGTCGATTACTTACATTATAAATTAACATTTTGGATGGTTTAAACGACGTCATGACTTCTCCTTCTCTTGAGATTCTCTTTTCATCTTCTTTTTTTCGTTGTACCTCCACGTACCCTGGCACGAATTGGTTCTCTAGACAAATTCTACGGGCCTACTTACTCGATAGGCTAAATAACTTGAATATACTCAAGCGAAAAGGGACTAGTTGTGTGAATTTTGATATGAGACTTTCTATCATTCCATTATTTGTATCTATTCCATATAAGAGTAGGGACGACTAATTGCATGAATGCCATTTTGGTCTATCACTCATAATTGCTCATCTGAACGAGTCTCATTAAAACATACAACAGCATATCCTATATGAGAACACTCCTTTGTTAAGTTGTAAACAATGGCGATCTGCAATTACGCTATAATTTATAAAAAACGAAAGACTTTTATTAATTCACGCATAGCACTTTTGACAACGATGGTCATGTCAGATATGGGTAGTTGATGAAAAATCTGACAGTTATAGCGTAGCTTCGATCTCGCTTGGCTCTGTCCATTTAATTTTCAGCAGCTCAGCTGTCAGGTTTTAGACCGCCTACAATGACGTAGGAGGACCATCGTTCGTAGAAAATATTTTCGGATAATTTAAGTACCAGACACTTTATTTAGCACATTTTTGCACTTTATTCGCATCTTTCTATCGATTTCTCTGCTTCTTTATGCTCTTAAGAATCTTATAAATTCCGGATTTTCTGTTCGTCTATATCAGCTCTCTGTTTGCATATACGTGTTACTGCCTATTCGATTGAATGTATATTTATTTGTATATATCCATCTAACCTATTTATTTGCGAACTTTACCTCACTGGATGGAAGTAATTGTGATGAAAATTCTGCTAAACGGATGCGTATCTTATCTCAAGTGTTTCGTCATTAAATTTCACTCCGAATTTAGACTAGATTACTTAGCAATGTTTCCAATCTTTGCGAACAGCTTCCTTCAATTTCATTTAGCCAGACACACTCCTCAAGCCATGTCTCCGTAACTAATGAGACTCTAGATTTCCTGAGCACATCTCTGGCCCTCCAAAGCCCTAACCTGAGTGGCATTGCTGGGAGTCGTCCATCTGATTCCAGCCAAATAGATCTGATCTGTCAGCTGAAGTGCGCATGTGTTGCATAATTGCAGCAATGCTCTGCTTTCCATCAGACTGGCATTCCGCTGCTCGCAGTCGCATATTCAAGCAACCAGATGACAATTCGGCGCATATGACTTGAGGGAGAAATACAAAGCTCTCGCAATATTAGTGCTGAAAAGTGTGAACCCTGGGAAAATCATTGGTCGACCCTACAACTATGCTTCACTGCGCCAGCCATAAACAATTTTAATGTGATAGATGGGAATGTAATCATCACTTACTTCACGATGCAGAACAAATGAATTCATTTTGCTCGATACTTATGGCTCCACCGGTGATGGTCCCATGAAAACGCGAAGTTAGCTCGAAGGGATTGAAGTGGTCTTCACTGCCTGTGGATTCCAAACAAATGTGGTCGGTACCCTTTGGGCGAATGCATACACTATCCCTCCGAATCTCCAAACCATACGCAGAACTAAATGGAAACTAGATGAATAGGAAGAAGCTTTTCATAAACTCACCACCAGAATCGAGTATGATCACTTTTTTTGCTAGATCCGTCTGGAAAAGGGTCACTTAATAAGGCTTAACATAAGTCCTTTGAAGGTTGTTGCACCATCTATCTGAGAACTAAGCTGAGGCGGAAGTGAATAGTTTTCGTCAGTGGTCCCTCGTTGTCGTAAAAATAGTTCCCACAATTTTCAACAGGGGTGATCAAACTCATTTTTATGACATTCGTATTAGAGTAGGGTTTCGAGACTACCAGTAAATCAGTGTAATGAGATGTATTCACCCTATT